GAGAGAAGAGAGAGAGATCCTCAAGGACAGCGTTACTTTGTCCTTTTATATGGTGGACACTAGATGTCATGACCCAGGGAAGTTTTTTATATTATATATGACCATAGGTCATAGCCTCTAGTTGAAAAATAATACTGTGCTTAAACCATACAAATTCTCTCTAGTATTACCCTAAGACAACTCTGGAGTCAAACATACATGGATTCAAATCACCAATCTAATGCTTTCTAGCTATGCTACCAGGCAAGCCACCCAAACTCTCTCAATCTTGATTTTCCTATCTCAAGATTGATCATGCATAGGAAACACAAATACTAATTTCCTAAGCCCCTATCACTGATTCCCTATTGGGTTCCTAGTGACTAATCTACATATTCTTTTTTATAAAAGAAGTAAAAAAATTAAACTGACACTTCATATGAATGAAGGAATATTAATGATGGATATAATTGAAGAATGAAAACTCAATTTCATTCATTAATTTAAAATTGGAATATTATAAGCCAAGTGTGGTGGTACATGCCTGTAACCCCAGCTGCTTGGGAGGCTGAGGCAGGAAGATGGCAAATTTGGAGAGACCTGTCTCAAAATAACATTTGAAAGGGGCAGGAGATTGGGAATTGAATTAGTTCAATGGTACCAGGTTCAATCCCCAGTATTCCCCTACCACAAGAACTTTATAGTATTTTAAAGCTGTCTGTGTGTTTTTCCACAGCCTTGCACCCCAGTTGTTCTAGGATATCTAAACTCTCTCTAACTGGACAGTCTCTTCCTCTACCACCCTGAGTTTTCCCAGATGACTCTTCTGCTCTGCAAAGAAGACATAGATTATCTGAAATGAAATTTTTTCAGAGATATCTTCAAGGTTTCTCTTTCTGCTACTGCCCTTTGGTCCTTTCTTCTTTCCCCTCACAGAGGAGTCTCCTGAAGCGCCCAACAAAGGAGTTCAGGCTGTGAGATGTAAAAAGGGGCACTGTTTGGGCACCTATTTGATTCCATGGCCCAGGGACTGATATAATGAAAACAGGCTGCCTCTTCCCTTGAGACTGGAGAGAAGGGTGAAGGGCAGAAGGGCCAGAACCTGGGCTGGTAGTGATGTTCCTGATCCTGGCAGAGGCCATGAAAATGAAAAAGGATATCCTGGAGAGATATAACTAAAGGAGACTTAACAAAACTCTGGTGGCTTGATTGGTCTGCCCTGAGATGGAGCACAGGGCAAGGGTAAAGATTCAAGACTATTTTTAGATTTTTAGTCTGCTTGACCAGGAGTAACACAGAAAGGAGGAAGTCAAGAGCACTCCCACCCAGGAGAGGACAAGCTTGGTTTGGGGCCTGTCGTGTGGACCTGGAAATCCCCTGTGACTAGAATCATGGAAGTGTATGTAGCTCCAGAGAGAGTGCAGGGGTAAAGAGAGAGATTTGGGCATCGCTCAGAGACACTGTAAGTTACAGAGGCTCCAGGAGCAGGATATAAAAAGACTGATCCATGGGTTTTGGAGGAGGAAGTTGTTCTAGGTTTGGAGGTGTAGGTAGGGTCAGTGGAAGAAGATGAGGGTGGAATGGTGCCATGTCCAGGTTAAAGCGGGCCTTCTGTCGAATGGTAAGGGAACTTGCATTTTACTTATAGACTGTTGGCAATTACTGAAGGTTTTTGAACTGAGAAGTGACACAGTCAGATTTGTGTTTCAGAGAGATTATGTGTTATTGGTGTTAATGATCTCTACATAAAAGAATTCATGATCTAAAGGATTATTAGAGTGGAGAAAGACTGAAAGTAAAAAGACCAATTAGAAGCTGCTACAGTAACCCTGGGAGATGGTGTCCTGGGTTATTACAAAATAATAGGATAGAGAGGAAAGGGGCAATATTTAGGTGATTTAGGAAGCAGATAACTTTAGCTGGACTGGTAGCACACATCTCTAATTCTTGCTACTCTAGAGGCTGAGGCAAGAGGATTGCAAGTTCAAGGTCAGCCTGGGCAACTTAGCAAGACCCTGTCTCAAAATAAAAATAAAAAGTGTAGTTCAATGGTAAAGCAACCCTGGGTTCAATCCCTAATAGAAGGGGGAAAAAGAGAGAGAAAGTAAATGTATTAATTAGATAAGAAACAGGAAGTAAAGAAAAATGAAGAGTCTAGCAGACTGCTGTGTTTCTGGTTGGGTTATATAGTATATTCACTGTGGTAGGAAATAAATGAAGAGGAACATTCATGTGAGCAAGATCACAAGTTCTACTTTAAAAGTGCTGAATTGGAAATGAATATCCAAGTGGGTTGGAGGTACTGACACATGGATGATAACTGAAGCCAAATGCTTGGATAACATTTTTGGGAAAATATAAATACAAAATGAATGTCTATTAATGATTCTATAAATCATTATAGTTCTTTGCTTTCTCTTCTCTGGTGTTGTTTATTTTATTTTGTAGTTTTACCAAAGCCCCCAAATCTTCTCTAGCTCTGAATGTCAAGACTGTGGGCTCTTTAGGGATCTTTTAGATATTCTGTTCCTACTGCCTTCAAGAACTTAGAGCAGCCCTGCAGAGTGGCCTTTAGAATACCTTAACACAGCCCCTCATTGCTATTTGCAGGAATAGAGGGTATGGGGAGTTTGAAGAAAGCCTAAAGACAGTTTCTAGTACACTGTCCTTATGCCTACTGTATTTTTCTCCTTTGGAGTAAAGTTCTCTGAAGGGTGACCTGTACTTGCCAACATTTTCTCACTTTCTAATGATAACCCCTTGTAATCTAGTTCCCACCTTGATCACTCTTCTGAAACTGCTTTCAAATGTCACTAGTGGCTTTCTCATTGCCAAATATTTTCACCTGCCGACACTGTTACAGCCTCCTCCTGAGCAGTCTCTCCTTCTTTGACTCTTGTGACCCACTCTTTGACTCCTATCTGCCTGTCTGGTGGATTCTCTGGTACTCTTTGGGGATCCTTCTCAGCTTCCCAGTGTGAGAATTCCTCACTCTCTGTGTCAGGTTGTCTTTCAGGGGTTCAGTCTTTGTTGCAAGCTACTCGCTGTCATGGCTTCAGCCCACCCTGCCTTGGCAGCAACTTTCTCCGTCTCTCTCTGGCTCCAACCCTTTTCCACGATTCCTAGTTCCGACCTCATCGTTTCTTCTTCCCCATCGCAGTCCTTTCACCAGGTTGGCTCCTCCCCTGAGCTTCTTTATGTCCATCAAGGGTCTCATAATTTTCCTGATTGCTCAAGTTCAGATTTTAGGATGATCCCTGAAGCCTCCCCTTTTGCTTGTCAAGTTGATCCTTAAGTTTTTGTTTTCTTTCTTTATTTTTGGGGGGTACTGGGGATTGAACCCAGGAATGTTGAGTCATGTCCTCGCCCCTGCCCCTTTCCTTCTTTTTTTAAAAATATTTTTATTAGTTGTTGATGGACCTTTATTTTATTTATTTATTTACATGCAGTGCGAGGACTGAACCCAGTGCCTCACACATGCTAGGCAAGTGCTCTACTACTGAGCCACAACCCCAGCCCACATCCTCAGTCCTTTTTGTTTTATTTTGAGACAGAGTCTTGCCATTCCTGAGGGTGGCTTAGAACTTGTGATCCTCCTGCTTCAGCCTCCAGAATTGCTGAAAGTACAAGCATGTGCCACTGTGCCTGGCTTTTTGTCTTCTTTTGACTTTTCTGAACCCCAATATGTTTTATCCGTTCCACCTTTCATTGTTACCACTTTGATTAGGCTCACATATCTTCATGCCTGAATTACAACAATTATTTTCTATTTAGTCTACTTGCCAACTGTTTCCCCTTGATTCAAACCTGCTTGCCCTCACCTCAATACAAATGGTGCCTTAACTTTAGCCCAGCCCTTCCTTCTTCCCCAGTGAAGGCTTTTTGAAAGGTACACTTACCCATATATGGCTTTAATTTCTAGTCTTTTTGGTTTTGTCTCTGGATTTGTACCAACTGAATATGGTAACACTGCTTGTTGATGAGAAGTTAAATGTCCATACTGAATGAAAATGGGAAACAACTATGCTCTTCTTCAATACATGCCAAGAGTGGAAATTGTGGATTAAAAAAAAAAAAAAACTCTCAAAACACGGATCCAGGTAATGAAAGAAATCTTGATGAAGTGAAGTCTTGCGCATGTTGATAATGCTGAAAACCACTTCTCTATACGCTAATCCAATGGAACAATCTCATGCTGTTTCCCCCCTCCCAAAATGGACTTTATTTTCATTTCCCTTCAAAACTTTGCTTAGGTTGTTCCTCTGCCTTAAGTGTCTTCCCCACCATTTCCTATCTCCTAAATCCTCTGCATCCTTTGGGACCCTCAACAGATGCCTGTCTTTTTCCCTCCACATCTGGGAGCCCCTTAAGTACGGTGGCCTTTCCCTTTCTGCAGCCTTCAAAATCTCCCACACTTTGCTCCTGTTCCAGCCTTAGCTTCCTTTCCAGGAGAAGCCGCTGCAACTGGGGATGATGTTCTCATTTCGCACCCAGCATGGCACGGATTATTTAGGAAATGGTGAACAACAAAAGTTGAGCTGAATAATATAGCCCTGTAGCCCGGGAGCCCAGGCCAAGCTTGCTCAATCTCACTCCCAGGCGCAGCCCGCCGGGCCAGTGGACCAGTCCTGAATTCATTTCCACCTCATTAACTCGGCCCCAGTCCCGCCCCCGCGGCTCGCGTTCTGGTTCCTCGTCTTTGACCCGGCCGCCTCCCTTTTCTTCCTTCTCTCTTCCCCTGTCATCTTGCCAGGTCGGCTTCTATCGCTTCGCATATCGTCCCTGCATCTCTCTTTCTCCCTGACTCTGTCTGGGTCTCAGTCTTTGGGTGTTTCTGCGCCTCCATCTGTCTGGGTCTCCGCTTCCTTGCCCTCTACGCCCCGCCTCCTGGCCAAGCCCTTCCAATCCCCACCGCTCGGGCCTGGCGCTCCACTCTCCCATTGGTCGGTTCAGGGCCCCTCCGACCCCGCCCGCTCGGCCCCCCTCCCGGCCCCTCCATTCACACAAAGTTTGGCTCCTGTGCTGCGGAGGGAGGGGGCGGCCCGGCCCGGCCCAGCTCTGCCCCCGGCCGGCCCGACCCCGGCCCCGGCCCCCGGACAAGCCCTTATCTGATCCCAGCTCCGGGTTTAAGAGTCCTGGCCCAGCCCGTCGCACGGCTCCGCTCTTCACTCCTGCCCTCCCCGTGTCCGTCCATCTGTCCCGCTGCCCCGCAGCCCATCCGAGGGACCACTCCACTTTCAACCCAAGGTAAGACCCTGGCCCTGATGAAGGAGTGCTGCCGCCCTGGCCGGGGTCCTGCTCATTTAACTCTTCAGAGACACTGACTTGATTCCTACCCTGGGGGCCTCAGCAATACATCCAGTTCCCCCTCCTTCCACCTTGGGTAGTCCCAAATAGACCCTCCTGGGAAGGGCTCCTCATACAGCGTACTTTACCCAGGTTGGTCACCTCAGTCCTTTCTTCTAAGGACTGGCAGACCTGCAGCTCTTCCAGTTCTTACAGCAACAACCACACATAACCATGCACCGCCCCACACTCGCAAACAGACTGTGCCCCCTCCTCTCAATATGGAAAGGTTACTCTTATGTTCCCCCATATAGTGACACCCACTGAAAACCCAGTTCACACAGGGGAGAAAAAAAACACAAATTAGAGGGAGACAGCCGCCTGGTGTGCTTGCCCGCCCCTTGCCTTCCACTCCAACTTGGCTCTCACCTAAAGACCTCTCCCTATTGCCCCCCACCCACACCCAGCTATTTCAAGCCAAGAGTTCCAGGAAAAAAGGAGCAGAGCAACTCCTTCTAGAGTAAGAGGGGAGATTGGGATCTATAAATTCATCCTCCCAAGGGAGATGCCCCTTCCCATCCTATCCCTCCCCACACCAGGAACTAACCAAGGGCACTTGTATTAGGAAAGACATGAAAGTTGGAACTTCCTGATTTGGTGAMGGAGAGCTGAACCCTAGGATAGGTAGAAGGACAAAACTGGAAAAAAGTGGGGGTAGGGCCTCTGGTATCTTGAGATTTATTCCAGTAAATGGCAGGCCGTGGCAGATGGAGAAATGGGGGTGGTGAAGAAGCCAGTTTAAATTTGGACCCCCAAAGAATCCAAAGCCTAAAGCCCCATAAGCTTGTATATCAATACAAATTCCGGCTACAGATGTCTGGCCAGTTTGCTCTTGCTGTGGCGCTTGAATTATTTTTCTCCCCCCTGGGACTCCCCTCAGGTAGTCTGAGAGAGAGGTGATAGTGAAAAATTTGGTGCCCACCTTTTTAGGGGTGCTGAGGAGGGTGTGGAGTGGGTAGTAGGAAACCAGCCCCAGAATGGGCCACTAGCCACCAATGAGTTCAGTTTAGTTTTATCCTGAAAGTCTCTCTCCCTGATCTCCAAGGGTTTTTGAACATGTTCCTGGCATGATGGTGGGCGCCCTTCTGGGCCAAGGGGTAGGACTCATTAATTCCTCAGGGTATAGACAGAGATCGGGAGACCAAGTCTAGAAGGAACCAGGTGTCCGGGCTCCTAGCTGGTTCTTCAGAAAGGAGAGTAGGGGGAGGAGAGGGAGGAAAGGCATCAAGCCAGGGAGAGGGTCCAGGGCAGGACTGTGGAGGCAATAGGCATGGCCCGGCAGTGCCAACTCCCCCCTGCCCCGAGAGTCCTTTGGTGGTGTGGTGAGGGAGGGAGGGAAGGAGGGGGAGTTGGGGGTGATCTGGGCCAGTCCAGCCTCCCAAAGCTCTTGCCAACCTGGGCCTTGAAAGGAGCTGCTGTTTTCTGAGCCATCCCCCCACCCCCCACCCAGAGCCCAGAGCAGCCAAGTTGTCTCAGTGGATATCAAATGGCAATGACTCTACTGACTGGGGGGTGGGGGGTGGGAGTGGCAAGGGGGGCAGGGTTATGGTCCCATTTCTTCTACAGCTCTAATGCAGAATCTCACTGCTGCCCCCTACCCCCAAAGGGAAAAATCTGTCTCCCCAACATTGCCCCACATCCAGTGGATGGGTGCATATCACCTATCTCTGCTGGCATTCCCCCACCTCCTCTGTGTGGCCCAACTGTACCACTCTGCATGGAGCTCATTTACAGCTCCAGCTTTGTTGGCTTGGGCTAGAAGGGAAGAGACTGGCAGAGGACCCAGGGGCCTTTCTTTCCTTGTTCTCACTAGGGACCTGGGAGGCTGGGACACTCAGATCTTGGTGGGTTCAGATGAAGTTCTCTGGAGTTATCTTGGGATTGCTTGGATAAGGTGTTTCGGGTTCTTGGGGGTAAGACCTATTTCCTCAAAGGACATTCTTGGGCCTCCTAGCAAAAGATTTGGTTTCTGTGCACAAGATGGAAAAATAGGTTGAGACCTGTAACATTGGTGGAGAGTGAAGGAGACATTAGGTGATGAAGCCCCTAAAATTTTCTGCCAAAAGTTATTTAGGACGGAAGAAAAAACTTCCATTCTTCCTTCTCTCTCCCGGCCTAGATTCTTCTCTTGCCTGACTGGTCAGTGCTACTGTCCAGGCTGAAGCCAAGCTGTCCAGGACAGTACTGAGGCCCTGGAAGGGGCAGAGAGAAGTCCTAACAGAGAGAAGGGGTGGAGAGAAGTCCTAACATAAGAAGTCCTAACAAGGGACAACAGTGAGATGAAACTGCAGAAAGATTGGACAGAGGTTTGGAATCCAAATGTTGTAGCACCCAGTGAAAAGTGGTTGACTGGGGCAGCTCCCGAGAATGACAGCTTCTTGAATTTACTGTGTTATCTCGGTCTCCTTCTCAGGTTGAGGTTAAATGCTCTTTTTTCTTCAGTTGAGTTTAGTTGCTGCCACTTTTTCACGGAGTGCATCCTGAGTGGTTCTTCTTTGCCCCCTCCCCCATCAGAACCTTGAAAGGGCAAAGAGAATGGGATTGTGGGAGAAACCCTCCCGTGGGTGTCTGCCAGCCTGGAGCYTGGATTTGAGGTGGTAGGGGAAGGGGAGGGGCTGGCTCTGGAATGTGGAAGAGAAGTCAGAACTGAACTGTGTGGCCTTCAGGTCTCTAATGTAGGAAGGGAGTACATGGCCCTTTTTGCAGCTCTTCTAGTAGGTTAGATTTTGGGAAGCACATCCCATAAGAAGAAAGACATTTGAAATGAAGATTAGGAAAGAAAGAAAGAGAAACTTCTGGGGGGAACTAAATAAATAAAAATTTAAAATAAGAACAAAAAATAACCCCTAAACATAAAAACTCATCATGGAAAGAGCTTATCTGAGAGGTGCTCTGAAGCTCACAGGTGTAGAGATTATTCTGACAACTGTCAAGGGGCCTCTTATGGATGGCTGGACTACATTGCTGTTCCAGACCTCCTTTTGGGTTAAGATCACAGCCTTGAAGTCAGACTTCCTGGGTTTAAATCACCTCATCCATACAATGGGGTTAATAATAGTTTTGAGGATTAAAAGAGTCAATATTTGTAAAGGGCTTAGAAGGTAGTTAGCATGTTAAAAACTGCTCTTGTTGGCTGTTAGGGTTYTCCCACCTCTCTCTTTCTACTCTGTCATCTCTCCTGGCTTCTGGGCCTTGTCCCAGCCTGGCATGGTTGTTTTTCTTAGACTCTGTCCTAGGTCTCTATCTTCCACTCCTTTGGAGTTTAGGAAGATGGAAGAATGATCAAGTAGTTTAAGATGAGTTTCCTCTTTTATTCCAGCAGGCTGGTTGTCACCTGAGTCTGGGTCTCCACACTCGTTGTCATTCTTCCTATGAATTTTTACTAAACAGATGTCCTGTCTTCAATTCAGATTTGGTAAATGTGAACTGAGCTGTTGAGCATCCCCCAAATAGTTTCTCTCCCATTCATTCCCAGTAACTTCTGGCTTCTACCAGCTTCTCTCTATCCCCACATCTCCCGCCTGCACTCCCCACATAACTTTGTCTCTTTTTTTTCCCTCTTCATCCTGTCTGTCCTCTTCCTGCTCTGAGTTTGCCCCAACTTGTTTCAGGTTTTAGTGTCTTCCTCTTCTGTCCTCTGATTAGCCTGTCCATCCCTTCAGCCTGCTTGCCTATGGCAGCCTTCTTGATGACCTTCCTGAAAACTCCAGACTCTCTTTCCTTGATTCCTTCCCTTTGCTCCACCATGGAATTAACACTAGAACTGTCCTCATGAAGTATCAGTTTTTGCCCTTTCCATTGGCATCAGATAAAAGTTTCCCAATCAAGGTTTCCAAGATGGCCTTTCCCTCTTCCCTCCAGCACCCATATCTCTTGGGACTGTGTTCTTCAGCTGTTCTAGGGGACCATATTCAAGGGCAGTCTCTGGGCCACACTCTTCCCCAATTCAGGACCCTCACACAGTCCATTCTAAGTCCCACCCCTCCTGCAAACCACCTTCTTTCTGTTTCCCTCTCTGCTCTGCCATCTTGCTTTTCCCTTACAATATGACTTTGCCCAGGATGCCCTATGCATGATGATGTTGGAAGAGACATCTTGTCTTCCTCATCTGATTTGGGGGTTCCTCTAGGGTAGAGCCTATGCCCCTTTAGGGGACTCCCTGAAGCAAGGCATCTCTTCTCTCCCCAGACTCCTTGGCACCCAGCAAAATGCCTGGCTCCAAGAACGCAGAGTGGCTACTGTCCAGCTTGACTCTAGCCAGGAAACCTTTCTGTTTGCTTATTCTGGGGGAGGACCCTGGCTTTAAAGGCTTCTTTGGGCATTCTATTGTAGGGYATATGTAAGACCCCATTTTCCAACTCTCTGATGATCCTCAAGAGAGACTTCTTTCCTACCACTTCCCTATCCTGAAGAGATGGCTTCACCCTAAGATTGCAAACAGTAGCCCCTAGAACATCCAATTTCCTGTCCTCCAAGCACTGTTGGCTCAAATACACACAAAAAGCATGTGGGTGTCCAGGCCCCACAGAGTCTTTCTCTAGGGAGGTCTGACTCCAGCCTGATGCCAGGCTTGTCAGCCAGTGTCTGGAGTGGAAACAAGGGTTAGAGATCAGAGTCTGACTTGGGATGGTTCCATTGTCTTGTACATACCTCTGAGCAGGGGCTTGCAARGTAGGAGATGTGGGGACACCTCCGGGTATAGGCCTTGCCTTTTAGTGTTACATTGTCTCTAGACTGGCCTCCTTAGCTCCACCTGCGGTCCCAGTCCCCTTTCTAGACCCAGGCACACCTTCTTACCATGTCTAAATCTTCCTGGATGACCCTATTATTAAAAAAAAAAAAAAAAAAAAAAAAGACACCGGCAGCTGGTGTGAGGAGAGAGCTTCTGAGGTTAGCTAGAG